TCATAGTAACCACGGTAATATGGTCTTTCGTCCAGATTTATAAACTTGTAGAGCTTGTAGATGGCCATAACGACGGTGGCGAGGCCGAATGTCGAGTACATGATGGTCTGCTCCGGATACGTTTTCAGCATTCTATGGGGCAGGTGCTTCCAGTATTGGATGAATCTCGTTGTACGAGACACGTGATACATCGGCATTGTTGTTGCCTTCAATAGCCACTGAAATAAAGAAAATACTTAAAAATAATGGCCAAAAAAGCTGAGTACCAGTAACAAAACATGCAAAATTACAATCAAAAATAGGCTGTGGAGATGAACAACCATGGCGAAAGCAACCTTCAAGGTTTCAAAAATGTTTATAAAGCCTTGGAAACATATACACAATGTAAATTCCTACAAAACACAAAAAAAAATTCCGCGATAACAACATTCAACAAACTAATCGATAACTATTTAACAAACTATTTTTAAAAAAGTCGCACTGTTACTGCTGTTCTTCTACCCGCTTTTGTTGTTCCAAAAGATATTCCGTTGCCGTCACTTCACTCGTCTTATGTTCTGAGAACTGAGGATCCGGTAATGTAGCAGAATTCAATCGTGGAGATATCCATGTCATTGGCGTCCATTCACCCTTCAAATGGCAGTTTCAATACAATATTCCCAACATAAAGAACAATTCGAACACTCAAACAATGACAGTAGCCCTCAGAATAAAAATTTTCAAAATACGCAACTCTTTTGGTTTGTCAGTAAATAATGAGAAAAGTTCAAAGTTTTCCCAACTTACACCTGACAGACTTGATTGTTAAAATAGTCAAAAGTGCAGTCAACAAGAGGAAGGGCTCTATTTATACCTTTTTTCTTAGCATTTTTTCATAATGGTGCGATGACGAAATGTATTAATTGATCAACCCTCCCTCCCTCTTCCCTCACCTACTGGATGGAAAATGCTCAAAAATACTCCTAGGAAGTAACCATCTATCGTGTTCCAAAAGATAACCACGAATCAAGCTGATAGAGGTCAGTAAAAGTGCAAGGAGCAAAAGACCCTTTAGCCGACTTGAGGAGAAGGAAAACAAATTTGGACGGATCAGTCGAGGGAACAACTAGTTTCGAGTCCCATGCGCTGATTTCCTTCTGCTTACACCTGTATAAGTAGCAGCAAGCGAAGATTGATATTCTTCACAAGAATCTTAGGA